AAAAAAAAACTGTGATGTGTGTATACACGCTGGAGAGAGAGAGAGAGAGAGCACACAGCCCTTTCACATTATTCAGACAACCCCTGCCGGTACTTCAAACGGTCCCTGCCAAAAATTGGCAAGGGTCCCTTCGGCAGGAACGTGGTGGTCATTGGAAGGGTCGTCACTGGACTCATAGTAAGGAGGGAGTAGGCCAGCTACATATGGTGTAGCTTCGATTTCAGGTCCGTGTTTCAGCAGTTATGGGTTACTGACTTACTAACTCAGCATGTGATTTTGAGGGCTTCACTCCACTACTCACCAAATGTGCAAAACTAGAATGAATCTTCTCCTAGAAACTGGATCCATACAGGCCATACGTTTTTCTTTTCTGCAAGTGCTAATGAGTGGCGCCAGGCCCTTAGGGCCACTGCATGCAAGTAACAAAAGGAAAAACAAAAAGACGAGACAGCTACTGTATGTGCAAAACTAGAATGACACGCATAAATCGAGAACCATACAAGCCATCCGTTTTTCTTTTCTGCAAGTGCTGATGAGTGGAGCGAGGCCCTTAGGGCCACAGCACGTAAGAAAAGGGGGAAAAAAAACACGAGACAACTACTGGAGTGTTTGTGGTAAATTCATAACCCATAACTCTTGGAACACAGACCTGAATCCGAATCTGGGATATATTGCTGGCCTACTCGTGGTCTTCCAGCAGTCCAATGCACATCCTTCCGAAGGTTATGGAAACCCTGCTAATTGCTTGCAGGGTACTTTTCAGCCCCCAAATATTCTCTCTGTGTACTTACCTTTTTTAAAAGGGAGGGACACTTATGGGTACGACGACCTACCCTTTCTGATTTTTTTTTATTTTTTTTTCTAAATGCGTCGCATCACGTGCGAGCGCACGTGTACGCATGTGCGCTGCGGCGCACGTGTGCAACCTGTGCGCACGTGATGCGCCGCAAGTATGGTTTGTTGCCTTGATGCCGGTGTGGACGCACGGACGATGAAGCTGAAGCGCTGGCGCCGACAGGTAAGTCCCCTGGTCTCCACCATAGCCAAGTCCCCCAGAAGCTCTCTCTTTCTCTCTCTCTCTGGCGTCGTACTGCAGCTGCGCTAACTAGCGCTGGAGCCTACCACTATCGTCAACTACTGGAGCCTCTACATGGAACTCTACTGAAGAATGCCTGTTGCCTCCTGGTCGGACCAGCTATATGTAGTGGCTGGTCAGGCTGGGAGGCCGCTCTTGCCAATGCCGCCCAGTACCGGTGGCTGGTGTCCAAACTGGCGTCTTGGCGCCTAAACTAGCGACCACGGCCTGAAGCGGCGCCCAGGCCCCGTTTCCCTGCTGCGGCCTACCTGGGCCTATGCGCGGTGGCCTGGCGCTACTGAACCGGCTCGCCAGGGCTTCGGCCTACCGGGGCCTGTCTACCTACACTGAAACGACATGGGGCCTGTAGGCCCCCCCTGCCTACCCCCTATCCTACCAGGTCGGGCCCTATAGGGGCCCGTGTGGTACTCAGAATGCCACAGCCAGCCTCTCTCCTCCAAGGAGGTGTCAAAAAACTTTTCCCATTTCAAGTTCCACTGCAAACTCGAATTGTATTGTCGCGCGGCCCTTGGTTTCATGCATAGCGACCGTCCTGGGCCCCAGACCACGGCCCAGGTGCTCTGGGTTCGGGGCTCCAGAATACAGGCACCTGGAGCTGTCCGGAATAAATTCAGGATCTTCCTTTTCATTTCCTTTTTTATATATATCGTCACAAACAGAACTGCCCGGTAAACCGTAGACATATTCTCTAAAAAATTTTGACCACTTCTCGATTTATGTGTGTCATCCTTGTGCAGGGGCCATGCTAATCTTCTCTGTATCATTCCAATTTTAACGGATGTCCCGAAGGACTCTTCCTTTTCATTTCCAAATTCCAAATTTTCCAAAAATTTAAAGCAACTCTAGAAGTAAAGCTCGTTATTCAGGACTAGTGTACTGGCGTTAGTTGATTGACAACCTGTGTGACTTATACAAGGATTTATCCATTGATTGCTTGGCGAAGCCGCGGGGGCGACCCAAACAGAAGTGGGAATAGGATGTAGGAGAGCATGCAGAACGTCAGGAAAAGGCGGCACAGATGGGGAAAAAGGGAGGAAAGGGCATGCAAATTCGGCGAGGAAAGAGCCGTGGAACGTACTCAGACTGGGGAGAAGCAAGGGGTGAAATTGTTCTTTGGTGGGAAAGGGAGAGGGGCCAGGCAGGAAGAGGAGCAAATAGGAGTGGAACAAGGGGAAGGGTGGTATGGGGATACGGAGAGGCGTATGGGTGCCATCAGGACAGCAAGGTGGGGGAATAGAACACGGAGGCGGCAAGTAAAAGGGCTGTGGAAGCAGTGGGTCAAAGAAGGGGCGGAAAAAGCTGTAGAGAGCGCAGCAGGGGCAGTTTCAAAGACTGACGGCTCTCTCTCTCTCTCTCTCTCTCTCTCTGGAGCAGTGCCAGAAGGAAGTAAATGGATGGAGCAGCAGCAGGAGGCATACTGGGGTGGGAGGAAAAGGGGGAGGCGGAAAATGGGGCACAAGGAGGATGACAAGGGCCAGGAGGATGGGGAGGAACCGGAGAAGAGTGACAACATTAGGATTTACCTGGCACAGGGGAGGAAAGCTGTGGCATACTCAGTACCACACGGGCCCAGCAGGGCCCGACCAGGTAGACGAAGGGTCTGTACATGTAGGGCCTATTTTCGTTCCAGCCTAAAAGCCTGAAAACGAGGGCCTACAGGCCCTGTGTCGTTTCAGCCTGAGAGCCTGAAAACGAGGGCCTAGAGGCCCTGTGTCGATTCAGCATGAAAGCCTGAAAACAAGGGCCTATAGGCCCTGAGTCTTTTCAGCCTGAAACGGAGGGCCATTTTCAGGCCCTCATAAGATCGACCTGCCCTGAAACTTAGGCACCAGACCAGGCTTTTAGCACAGGCCATTTTTGGCCTGTTTTCAAGACAACCTTTGTTTGAACTTCAACGCCAGGCTCTGGCACGTTTTGGCATTGGCAAGAGCAGCCTCCTGGACGGGTCAGCACTATATAAGACTGGCCCGCCCTACAGGCTGCAGGCAGTCAGGAGGCAGTTCATAGGAACTTCCCATGCACTTCACGTGCAGGAGGCTGGAGGTAGTCTTCAGGATTCGGCAGCAGCACTCTGGAAGAGCGCTGCAGGAGTAGGAGCTAGAGTAGCGTTGGAGAGAGAGAGAGAGAGATGGTTGGCGGAGGCCGGGGAGACTTACCTGTGGCGCCATAGCTCCAGCTTCGTCTTCGATGTACCTTGCAACAAGGTGCCACCTAGTACCGGACTGAGAGACAGAGAGAGAGAGAGAGAGAGAGCTCTTCTTCTTCCTCTTCTAAGTCCATCATCTCTCCCTCACCCTCTCGCTACCTGACTTCTCAGTATCTGCAGACTACGAGAGAGAGAAAGATTGGTGACTTTGGGATTTGACGACAGTTGGAATGCAGACTCGACATTGGGATTCAGACATTTGACGAAGGATTATTTGGGATTGTACCGAAGACTTGGTGTCGACGACATTCCCATCTTCCCCTCTTCTTCGTCTAATCCACCTCTTCTTCGTCTGTGTATAGTTGGGGACTGGCGCATTCTTCCTGTGTGAGCGCCAGGCCCCTTCACACCATGGAATGATGATGATGTATGTTTGGTCTGCATGGCAACATTGATTGTTCGGGTCATTGGTATTTAAGCCTTCCGCTGTGTTATCTTGTACTTTGTGAGGGAGGTCGGTTCTTGTTTTGGTCACCGTTACGGTATGCGACAAAAGCACTCTCACGATGGAGCACCTGGCGTCAACTCAATGAGGAATCATGGCCATGATCGAGCATGGCAACAATGAAGCACCACAACAAAGCGGGCTTCAAGGCTTCTGAAAATCCAAAAGAGGGGCCATCTATCTGTGAAGATCGATGGGCCCCATTCCTTTTTGCGATGCCACAAGATTGATACCGGGCTACTGGTCCCACCGTTCTCGAGAGGCGAGCCTGAGGGACAGCGTGGACCAGGTTGACTCTCACATTCAAAGCCCTATGCTATCTCTCGGACAGACCATTCCAGATTAGCTGGCCCGGTCTCGGCAATCTGGGCAGGCATCTTGACCTGCTACCTAGCTTTCCGTATTCCATTGTGGTGATGGAGCTTCCATATTCCCTAGTCTTCAATGTCTTCTCATTTTGCACATTGAAAGACTAGAGAAGCATGCAAAATCTATGTTGCACAACGTTCACTGCAGCCCCGCCGCTGCACACGGAGGCAGAAACGTTCAGTTATAGAAAGGCAACCGCTTTTCCTGTCAGGTAAGACAATTGGAATTACATTCGTTGGCAAGCCCCTTTTGCCGATTATCTTGTCAATTTTCTTCAGCAACAATCATCAAACCCGAACGGGTTTGAAGATTGGTAGAGATGCAAGCAGAAAGGTTGGTTTGGTAGAGACAAATGCGCCTGGCATTTAAATCCATGAAGGAGACGGGTGGTTACGAAAGCCACCAGGAAGAATGCCTGAAAAAGCACAGCAAGTTGCAAAAGAAGATCCTACATGCACAGAACACCTGCACATGAAAGTTTCGTTTGTTGTTTACATACATCAGATGAGAAGTTTTGACGCAAATGTGAGGTAATGCAGGAGAAACAAGCTCCCTACCGGATTAACAAGAGACTTGTATGGCGAGTCGTCGATTAGGAGAGTGTTGAGCTGGCCAAATCCTGCATGCCACAACTCCGGTGTCATCCAGATGCGGCTCAGGTCTTTCAGAAATACAGGTTTCTGCCTGTTTTCTGGATGTCGCAGCCGTGTATCTGTACAGTGGCTCTGATCCTGTACATTACCGGGAGGGGGAGAAAACAGAGGCGTTTTCATCAGAAGAGAAACTGAACCAGAGCCTGCCTTAAAGATTGGAGGAGAACTTATGCAACTGCGCGCACACATACAATACATCAGGCACGGAATGAGTTGCACCTTCGGGTCAGCAACAAAATAAATATTCAGAAATCTTGGTATACTGTCACTTCTTTCAAGCAACTTGAGGACAACAGGAAGCTATTTTAGTGAGTGAACACAGCAGCGCACTATGCAAGGAGTAAACACAGCACTGAACTAAGTAAAATGTTACGTTCTTAAACAGCCAGGAGAAGAAAAAGGAGAGTTGAAAACACTGATGGGTCTCCTCATGCAAGAATTATGCAGAGCTATGTGTGCCTGAAGGCAATGATCAATACTGTCTCAGATGGGAGCAAAACCAGCGAAAACATAGCGACATTGGAAACATATGGTCTGATCTCCAGGTCTGAAAGGCTTCACGGTGCACAGATTAAACAGTCCCGGTCCCAAGGCCCCAAAGTCCCCAGGCTCGGAGCTGAGTCTGAGCCTCAGGGTCCAAGAACACAGATACCGCAGTCTTGGCCCCAGCGTCCCAGAATCCCGGAGTTCCAGAGTCCTGGAGTCCCAAATGGTCCCGGTAGTGTCCCAGGGTCCGTAAATAGGTCCTAGGTCTAGAGGTAGGCCAAGGGGTCAAAAGTCCAGTCCCGTAGGGGTAGGTCTGTAGTCCAGTCCCAAATATCCAATTTTGCAGCAACCAGCCCAACCGAAACAAGGCCAGACCAGACGAGCGACATGCAGGCATTTTGCAAGGCCGAGGTACTGTCCTAGAGGCACAAGCAGCGAGTCCAATTCTATATTTTGGCTGCTACAGTGCAGCGCCTCATCAGTTGTTCACTCGCGACTTTGTGGAAGCGCTGCAGGTGACTTGTGCATGAGGAGCGGATGGTGGACTTGGCGCTGGACAGAGCCAGTTCACGCTGGCCAGAGGCCGGCCTGGGAGGGCAACTGCGCGTGTATTCAGAGTAGACCTGGAGAGAGAGAGAGAGAGAGAGAGAGAAGAGATGAGAGTGAGACAGGAGGAGAGAAAGAGAGAACATGCCTAAGCTGGGAGGAGGTAGAGAGCCAACTTTACACCTAGTTGGGTTGTGTGTGTGTGCACTAAGGTGCAGCGCTGACTAGCGCTATTCTTTCCATTCTTTTATTGAACCTTGTAACAACTTTCGAGTGATTACTTCAAGCATTCCGAACTCCATTTTCTCAATTTATGCGTGTCATCCTTGCGCAGGGGCCATGCTAATCTTCTCTGAATCGTTCCAATTTTAACGGAAGTCCCGAACTCCATTTTCATCTCAAGTGTGCAAGCGTGTAACTTTGTGAATATTTCCTTTGTGCAGCGCCTGATTGAGTTGCATCCAGCTGGGTCATTGCAGGTCCAAAATCTGGTCCCAGGATTGTCACAAAGAAACAAAACAAAAGAGAGATGCAATACCCGACCTTACGAATAGCATTAAACCACCAATACGTCCAAGCCTCGTTTTGCCATGGCAGATTCCCCCTTTTTCTTTTTTTGCCCCTTTGTGCTGGCACTGCCAGTCGTTTTGGTCTGGTAGTCCCAAGCCTCCGAAATTTTCGGGACCAGCTTGATTTCGGTTCTCACGTTTGCCTGGGCCATTCACTGGTGGTTTAAGAAAGCAAAAAAACTCAATAAAGTTATCTTACACCGGAAAAATCAGAATCACAACATGCACTAAAACACAGGACTTTTAAAGAAATTTAATTACTTGTCGCCGAAGTTGTCGGTATCTACCACCCAAACACAGAACTTGCAAACTCGGCCAAAAAGGTTAAGAGTGACACCTGGGACAATAGCCTCCCCCCCCCCCCCCCCCCCCCCCCCCCCCCCACCCCCTTCGCACCCACCCGCCCGCACCTCTCCCTTTTTCCCTGAAACAGTCTTTCCCAGGATCTGCATTGTCCAGTGAGCCCCTGCATGCTGTCCGGACCGTCCTGGTTGCTGCGATAGTACAAATGGAAGGGGTAGAACCCAAAGCCCCCTGATCCATGAGCTCTAAATAAAAGTGGAAAGCGGAAAAGGATATTGATGTGCAGCACTGATTGAAACATTTGATTGCCGAGTCTGCTGACTCTACTTGGTGTGCGACATTGCCCATGTGTGTGTGCATGAGATCCACACAGAACAATTATATCACTACATGCACTGTGTGCAATTAACCTCTGCACCTCAGGGCATATTCACACACACACACACACACACACACACACACCTGTTGTGGCTGAATGTCACCCTACGCAGACCTGGTGTGAGCATGCCCTCAGTGGAGTGACGTGAACACTTCAAATAATATTTCAATTTTCAAACAATATTCAAATCAAGAGCTCAGTGAAGCCATTGGGCTTAATGGGCCTGGTGCTGCCATTCTGTGCCTGTGGTAGGGCCGGCATACTTTCAACATACCGCACTGTGTGCATATGTGCAGAGAGGGTTAACTTACCAGGCAGGAACCCATGCACACAGGAGGGAGAAATCACAAATAGATGAACACACATGTGATAAGAAGGGAAGGCTGCACAGCTGACATGACACATAGCACTGCGAATGCAACATGCAACAGAATGGTAACAAACAACAGTAGGTGAGTGAACGAGGGGGCAGATATATGCACAGAGTGCTCCATGCCGGTAGGGAAATGCGGCAGGCAAAAGGGTCTCGCCAAAGGAAAAGCAAGCGAGTTGATATTGCACTCAGAAAGGATGAGCTGATGGGTGGATGTGTAGGACCAGCCACAGAGTTGAGCACTACAGTAGCCAAAGCTACATGTGATATAAGGGGGCACCCCCACACCCACACATTACCACAGAAGTTTGACTAGACTCTGCACAGGAGAGAAAAAAAGAATGAGCATAAGAAGAATCTCCATGGTAAAAAGTGTTGCAAGCCTCCGTGAGCTCGACATAAGACAGTCATCTTCAACTGAAAGCTCTTGAAAACATAGAAGGGATGAAATCACATTACCAGATAGTTGGCGGCTCAGTTGACAAACGGAAGGCATGTCACATTAACATAATCTGTCGCAGAAGGCACGTCACACTGACGTGTACATGCTGAATCTTACAAGTGGTTTGATTCCAACCATGCTCTCTCTCTCTCTCTCTCTCTCTCTCTCTCTCACACACACACACACACACACACACACACACACACACACACACACACACACACACACATACATTAACATAATCTGTTGCAGAAGGCATGTCACACTGACGTGCACATGCTGAATCTTACAAGTCGTTTAATTCCAACCATTCTCTCTCTCTCTCTCTCTCTCTCTCAGGCCCCCTCCGACCCACTCCCCCACCACTTCCCACCCCTTCCCCCCATGTGTTTACATCATCCTTGGCCACCTGCTTGGTCTTTAATTCCAGGATACCTTGCAAGACAGTGACTGAACAATGTCACAGTTACAAGGAGCTACTGAGAACTCCTATCTGTAGACGAGCACGTCTTGCTCACTCCTTCACCTCTTGTTCCCTCCCTATCATACAATTTCTGAATAGACTCATATACTTGCACCTATTCAACACGATGTGAAAGCAGGTCGCTGACATGGCCATGTCATACACTCCCAGCGACGGTATCTGATGCCGAGAGAAAAACCTGAATAAGGTCCTACAACAGAGATGTTATCAGAAAGATGAAGAACAGCATGTGTCTCTACTCATTGACATTAGCATCATGTTGGGGCATAATTGCACAGAGTTTCGAAGAGACCTGGTTCCGTGGCAGGTCCATCCACAGATTCGGCAGAAAAGTTTCAGATTCTGCCACATGATTGGCCAATTAGGTGATGGCCATGTTGTCGGACAGCGAAAAACAAACCCTGTTTGTGATCATGATCAACCCTCGGAAATCTGCACGGGTTCAATGCCAATAACCACCCTCCATGCAGCTTAAAAAGAGTGGCAAACGCCATGCAGTCAGCCATCAGAGGATGTGGCCAACTTCTTAAAGCCAGGTCATCAGTTCAGTTAAAAACTCAACATTCAACAAGGTCAGGACTACAGAGAAGTGTTGGATCTCAATGCTCGTCGGTTCCCATGCCAATTAGGTGAATTGGCAGGCCCATCGACACTCTGCTCGATACACTTGGAGCCTTACCCGGCGGCACATTGCTGGTAGTGATTCAACCTCGCTTGGCATCTCATGCACTCCTCGTTACTGCAATACGGGGATACATCTATTTGCACTTCTCTGTGCCGATGCAGTCCTGTCGAAGCAGTTTGAGAGCCGCAACGTACGGCAGCTGCCCTTTGCGGCTATGTCCATTATACATCTACTCGCGCTTTTCAACGAGGATCCAATCCTGGCATAATACATCAGGTCATGCATCAGGTTCTCTTCTCTTCTCATCTCTTCTCATCGCCAGGAGTGACCGTTACTGTTACGTAAATCTTGACAAAAGCGAGAACACAGCTCTTCGATTCATTCCTTGAGGGGATAGCACACTCAGGCTGCACTTTTTGTCACTTTAGAAATCACCATAACATCTACTTTCACTTGAGAATGAGGACAGTATGCCGACATTAGAATCTTCCATCGAGATGGCCAGCACATCAACCCACACTTTGGCCAAAGAAGCAGCCCCAACGCTCGAGTCCAAGGGATGATAACCAGACGGCATCTCATCCCGATCGATGTACCAGTCAGGTGAACTGGATGAAATGATGTGCAGCAAGAGAACCTGCCAACTGCCTTCTTGAACAGTCCCCCATGGAGCACCTCATGCCAGCCACATAACTGGAGCAGTGACAAAAACAGTCACAAGCACCAATCCGGAATGCTCTCAGCTGGAATGGGACATGCGTTGCGTATGAAGTCCGAGGATGGCAGAAACACCGTCAGATTCTGACAAGGATCTCAGCAAGCGGGGGCATGGCTACCCTGGAGTCTAGAGCAACAAAGTTTCGCCTCAAGCAACCCACCCTGAAGAGGTGTTGTGCCATCACGGTTAGACATATGATTCATCCCTTCTAACTGATGGCATGCCTGCCCATGCTGCACTCACCTCGTTACTCCAGATTCTGTCTGGAGCAAAACTTCGAACACTGACCATTCACACATGAATACGTTCACCGTGCATGAAGATCTGCAGAATCCCAATTGTTTCCAACCGTCTGATACTGCACCTGTGGTCACATACCTCCAGTTTGGATTGATTCTATGATCCAAAGATTTCGGCAAACATATTGCATCTAACATCCTGCCACATGCAGGACATAGCGGTTGGCCGATTCTCAAGATCTGAACAAAAAAGTATCGGAGAAGTGAGAAGCAGCGAAGGTCATTGGAACCGAACATCATGACAGAAAGCACTGCCACATGCGTCATGATGTGTTCCAATCAGCACTGCTCGTCTATGATACTGCCAAGAGGGTGGAACGCGTTGAGCATCACCATCGGAACCTGGAATCAAGTGCATTCCACCTCTGCACCATCCAGTTCCGTGATGCTCAGACGCATCATTATACAGCGTTGAAAAGCTTGTCAGAGGAAAGCTCGACAGCCAGCATGGAAGCCCCTAAAAAAATCCTCCAACACTGGGTCGTTGCATACGGTACGCTGCAGGTTCTCCTGAGCCACAAATCAGTTCATGCTCGTAGGCACATTTGCAAGACCATAGAGTCAACTTTGTTGAAGCAGGGTAGAACTGGTTTCCGCCTTCCACTTGTAGTAATAAAGCCACAAAACCACCATCTGTTCAGCGGTTGCAATGGGATCACAGCGGATGCAGGTGCTGAAATAGCAGGGATATCTTCTGGCTATGTACGCATTCCTCATCTCCAGCTTCCCCAACAGGCAGAAAGTCACATCTCTGACAGAGGTCATCTAAACTGCAAAGCAGCTCCGCTGTTGGCCCCTCGCTACCGATTAAGACGTGAAGACTGCGCAGGTGCTGAAATGACAGGGATATCTTCTGGCTATGTGCACATTCCTCATCTCCAGCTTCCCCTGGCTATGTGCACATTCCTCATTCCAGCTTCCCCAACAGGCAGCAGGTCAGATCTCTGACAGAGGCCAGCTAAACTGCAAAGCAGCTTTACTGTTTGGCCCCTTGCTACCCGATTACATGTGAAGACTGCGCAGGTACTGCACAGACAGCCAATCTCGCAGAAACCTTAACAAGCTCTCTGCATCAGAAGGCTGCATTCACAATGGAAGACTACATGAGGAGGGCTGGTGGTCACCACCCATCACAGCCACAATCCCATGCTATCTGGCCAGGAGAGGGTCTTAATCTGCAAAGATTCGTGGGGCAGCATACTCTCCACCTGCCAATGACAACTTTTGCATTAACATATGCAACAAGAAGTCACCAGTAATTGAAAATGGCCAAGGAAAACGAAAAACTATACGGAACACGTTCTGTCTGGACATCAATCAGCAAAGGCATGCATGACCACCATCACCCTCAATGATGATCGTCAAAATTATCAGGATGAACCTGAAAGGTTTAAAATTTGAATACCAGAAATTGAACACGCAACTACCATTACAGGTGAATCATTGAGTCAATCATGTCTGCAGATTGCTCCATCTACAATTACAGGTGAGTCATTGAGTCAATCATGTCTGCACATAGCTCCATCTAAGCCACACATTTCAATCTCAAGCCAAACGTACTCATATGGGGGAGAAAAGGGGAAGGAAAAAACGAAAAAAAGAGGAAAACAACACCTAGGAACTGTCCAGAACAAACATTATAATCCATCCATCCATATATGTAACCACTAATCCCACCCATCCATCACTCAGAGTACGGATTCCTTACAAGGCCATTTATTTTCCGCAGACCTCGCACAATGGATAACCAATCTGCAAACTGAACTGCGCAGTGTGACCATTATTTTAATACCAGACAAACTGGCTCACAGAGAAAGAGGATTTGGGCAGAGAAGTACTTCACACCTTCACTGAACATAGAAAAGCAGGGGCAACAGGGACAATCATCAAAAGCCAGGCAAATAAATGCTGTCAGCGTTTGCTGAACAAAACATCACAAGAAAACCCATCACAAGAAAACCCGTCACTGTAACATCCACTTTCATCAACAGTCACACACATGATGCATTTAACAGATGCCTTTCGCCATATCACCTAACCCACAGTTAGTGATACCCTTGAGAGGAGCGGTCAGCTTTACTCACAACAGCCTCCAATCCTACAAGAATCAACTTGAATCAAGTGATGTACTTGCCTTTGTGTAATACGCCTGTCAAGTTGTGTCAGCATACTCTCTCTCTCTCTCTCTCTCTCTCTCTCTCTCTGTGTCGGGGGAACAGTGGCAAAAGGAAGGAAGGAAATTGGGTGGAGCAGCAGCAGGAGGCACTAACTGTAGGACAACCTGGTCGCTATTGAGTGACCTTGGATGTTGGTCAGACAGTGATGATAGGACAACCTATTCAGATCGTGTGCCAGCGGCCACCCTATCCCAAAACTCTCTCCGAGTCTCGTCTCATAGCTCAAAATGTATGGAGAACAAATTATCGGCCTAAGTTCCTCTCTCTCTCTCTCTCTCTCTCTCTCTTTCCACACACACACACACACACACCTGGCATGCTCACGGTCCAGACTAGCTGTTTGTGCTCCCTAGGAGAGATGGCACATCATGACACCTGACACTCCCCCCCCTCCTCCCCCTACCCTCTTCCCAGCATGGCATCTGCGCCTCAACAATCCCTTCATATTGTCCCCCAACTTGCACGTGAACTGTCTTGGACTCTTCTCACAATGTCCCCTCTTGACACAGTCCCTAGCTGCACTCTTTACATCTACGTGTATTGCCACCCACACATCAAGCCCCTGCGCCCCCTCCATTTCCCCTCTTTAGTCTTACCTACATCTATGCAGGATCAGGCAACCCCCTTCCTAACACTCCCGTTCATGATATCTTCCAAAGTTAGCACTTTAATACCTCCGTCAACACTCTCCCTCCCTCTCCACGCGCACAGACCCGGCTCACATGCAAAGCATCTAGTGACAAGTTAACAATGCCTCCCTTACAACGCACATCAGTTCTCCCCATCATGATCTTTTGCACAGATAGCGCTTTGTGGCTTCCCTGGACTGCTGACCCTCTTTCCTTCCCCCTCTCCAGCCAAAGCACCTGGCGATCCCCTCAACATTCTCCCTTCCTTTCCGTTGCAGTACAAAAATTCTTTGAACCCGCTGAACACTCCTATCCCCCACATCCTTGCATGCAACTCTTGTGGTCTGGAGAACGTTTACCCACAAACTCGTGTTCATAATCGGGGAAAAAAAGAGCTCCATACTAGGCTAAAATTTCATTTTTGTGATAGAAAATGGCTCCGTACTTTGCTACACTACCATACTGTCCACAAGAGTATGGTTTCACAACAGGTCACGCTGTGCAATGGCCTCGGTGGAAGCACCTGATCTGGAAAATTGGTAATTGAGTCTACATCACAGCAATTGCACTGCAACAACAGTGATGCTGGCCTCATAATGTGGCAGCAGCTTTCAACTGGTCTCATCAAGTGGCCTCTTTTAGGGACACTCATCGTTTTACAGCTTTTACTTATTCCTGACTCTAAAATACGGTTTGCGACGATGATAGAGATCAGCAGAGATGGATGTGACTACACACAGGAGACGATTTCTCTGCCACCATCAGCCTAAAAGCAACAGCTCACCCTTCTGTGCGTAAGCAACTTCGTTATGCATCAGTCTACACTCCTGCCACAGTGCCACCCTCATTCCCCAAACACCTGTGGCTCTCACATATGTGCACCCAAACAGGATGAAAACGTTAACAGCTCAACCAAAAGAAGGGATCACAAGCAGAAGCCCCCCCCCAAAAGACGTTCCCCGCTGTGAGGACGGGGCAGAAATACGTGATCCAAGAAACAAGGATTAGACAAGCTTGCGGTGCAACAAGTCAAGCAATGACAAAACGAGAACCACATTTTTCCAGTCCCCTAAAAAAATAAACAAGTTGAGCGACTAACAACACATTGGCGACAACAGCAACATAAAACAAAGCAGCTATAGAATTTGAGAAACGACTACAGAAGAGAGATACGATACGTCAGGGAGGTCATATGGCACTTTCCACTCCACAGCACAGTCCTTCTTGGGCATCTGGTTGAGCAAATGGACCGTCTGGGAGGCCATAGGGCATGAACTTTGCACTACAGGTGTATGTACCCAACAGCCCAGTCCTTGGATATCTGGTTGAGTAAATGGACTATGTCAGAGAGGACATATGGCATAAACTTTGCACTCCAGGAGTACCCACCCCACAGCACAGTCCTTGGATATCTGGTTCAGTAAATGGACTCTGCTGCATTCTCTGTTGGGTTTGGTTTCTGCCTCGAGGTCAACATGCAGTATTATGCACTGTATAGAACAGACTGCGCGCACATCTTCTTTCTTCACTGGCCGCACCTTACCCAAGCCTGCACTAACTTGGCCAACCCTAAGAAAGCCCATACAGAGACAACCAAGCAATCAAGATGCCACTGCATCCCTGCCGAAGCGAGCCCCAGCAAGAAACCGCACAGAAACAACAGCAAACATTTCGTTTGAACAAGAACAGCAATGCCACGGTTTCCTGCTGCATTCCTGCCTAGTCGAGACATGGCAGGGCTCAGACCTTGAAGGTCCCAGATCTTAGCAGATCCATGTACAACTACCCTTTTCCTGCTTTTCATTTCCTCCTAAGACAACAACGCCATGCAGTCATTTGGAAACCATTCAACATCAACCTTCTGGGTCTGAGTTGTCAAATAAGTACTAGCTCTTTCAAGTGCTCCCGGCACATGGCGCAATGATCACCACCACGGAAAACAGTATAGAAGCAACAACGCATAGTGAATGTTTCCTGCCTTACAAATGACAACAATGGGAGAGTGTCACTAAGCTAAGCAAACAATGAAGGGCACTAGAAACACGCAACTCAACTTCGGCGGGTATCAATAACCCAATACCGGAGAAAACGCCACAATTCCAATCGAGCGTCCTCATCTGGGCAAGGTCGAGAATGTGCGGTGCAAAGACGTAAATGGCTGAACGTGAGCATTTCTCTCTCTCTCTCTCTCTCTCTCTCTCTCTCTCTCTCTCTCTCTCTCTCTCTCTCTCTACCATGGATGCATCTTCCGGTTCTCTTGCAACCTCACTGAACTGCTTACGCACTTGAGTGCTCTGCTCAGGTTCAAGGATAAGTGTAAGACAGGAAGTAAGAAAGGAAAGAAAGAAGAGGACAATTAATCATAGCGAAGTATGACATATATGCAAAAACACCTTACCCATATAAAGGCGAGTTGCCCCACAGCATCCCGGAATATGTGTTGCACAAGACCCATTAAGTTGTGCCTGCAGTGAACACACAACAAGTCACATCAGTGGTGGCCATACTCACCTCCGAAAGCAGGCCACAACCAACTCTCTGAAAGCAACGTAAGGCACGCATGTACCAACAACCAGCAACTTCTCGAGGACACTTATCCAAATTCTCCTCAGCCTCTCTCTCTCTCTCTCTCTCTCTCTGCTGTCTCTTATACACATCTAGATGTGTATAAGAGACAGCCCCCCCCCCTCTCCTTGAAAGACCGAGCTCACCTGCGAGGGCGAAGCTGTCTGTCGGAGGGAGGGACCTTAGTCCGGTGGGAGGGGCAGATTGTGAAGCTTCCTTCGCTAGTCATTGCTTTTCATAGTGAGTGTAGATAAGTGGTGTGAAGGCTTGCAAAGCTGCGCGTGATATTCACAGTGTGCCATTGCAGTCGCATCCTTTGAAATTGACCTTGTAGTAGGCTTGTACTGTCTTGGCTTGTTGCCGTACTTGCGATCCGTGATGACAATCCATGATGACGCGATCGACTTCCTGATGACCATCCATAGACGGAGGGTCCTGCGATCTCGGTCCGGGAACTCGTCACTCTTGGCTGGTGTATATGTAGCCAGCTTTGAGGTGTTGAAAACCGGGTGGACCATTAGATGCAGCGAAATCTCGACCACAAATGATGGGCAATCGGGCTCATCGCCCGCGGCTGACGTTACGGTCCAAGGTCCAAACCACTTAGGAAGTAACTTGCGCGAGATGTCTTGCTCGAGTGCAAATTCTTCCGCGGAGACCCAAACAAGGTCGCCGACGCGGATAGGACATGGCACGCGACGCCTATTGGCTTGCTGTTGCATGTGAACTTGAGCCTTTTGCATGTTTATGTGGGCTTTAGCTAGCAAGTCCCAGTACTTCCGAACGGAGGTAGGAGAGCAAGGGGCGTCAACGTTGGCAGCCTATGGTAGTAAGAGATCAGCGGAGATACGGCCTTTCCGGTCACCGTGGTGTAACTCAAATGTAGTCACTCCGATCGCCGGATGCAACAAAGTGTTGTAGGCAAACTCGATGTCGGGGAGGCGGTCAATCCATTCCTTCTGATCCGGACAGATAAGCGTACAAAGCATCATTTGAGCGGTTTGATGTGCTCACTCCATTTGCCCGTCCGTTTGCCCGTCCGTTTTGGTTTCATCTCGGTGCCGGACTCCTCCATGAGAGAAGTCCAAAATGCCGACATAAAACGAGTGACGCGGTCGTTGACGATGTCTTCCGAAACGCCGTGGCCGCAAATCCAGCCGGTGTGCAAGAGTCGTGCGAGCTCGAGAGCCGTGGCGTATTACTTGCAAGGAAGAAATCGTGCCTGCTTACTCAAACGGTCAACGACTGTGAGAATGCCATCATGCCCGAAGTGATCGCGAGGGACTGGGCCGGTGACATCCATAGCAATGGAGAGGCCGGGTTCCCGAGGATAGGCAACGAGCGCAACTCGCCATAGGGATTGCGATTGCGGGTGCTTCGTCGGCACACCTCGCAAGATTCGCAACACAGAGTGACGTCGGTAATGAGATCAGGCCACCAGAATCGTTGTCGAAGTCGTGCGATCATACGGCTGACTCTGAAGTGGCCGGCGAATCACAAGTCCGTAGTCAACGGTCTCGTGGGACGCATAGTAAGTCCTTGCCTCATCAGTGGAGAAGCAAGTAGCCATTGGTGACACGATAGTGGCTGGCCTGTGGGTGATCTGAAGAGAGTTGCTCGTAAAGAGTGGCGAACTCCGGATCAGACTTGTATGCGCACACAAAATGCTGGTGAAGGTCGTTGTCAAGTCGAACACGTGGTGAATCGCTGCGCAAAGATCCGATCTTCGCGAGAGAGCGTTCGCGGCTCCGTTGGAGAGACCTGAAATGTGTTTCAGTCTGCAGTCGAATTGGTGGATGAAGTACATCCACCGAGCAATTGTGCTGCTCACCGTGTCTTGCGTTTTACGATAGGTCAATGGGTTATTGTCGATAGCCCATGTAAACCTACGACGCCCGAGGAGGAAATGTCGCCAACGCTCAAGTACAGTGACGAATGTCAGCAACTCCTCCTTCCGAGCGTCATCAATGGAAGTGAGGGAGGCATCTTTTGGCTGAAGTACTCAACCGGATGTCGGTCTACTCCGTCGTGTTGTTCCAAAACTGCACCAATGTCGTTGTCGGAAGCGTCCGTAGTCACTCTCGTCGGCAAGGTGGGATCATAGATAGTCAAGACGTCGAAGGAGTCGAGACGCTCTACAATGCGTGGATCCGGTGGCACTTTCGTTGCTCGCTCATCGGGAGGAGGGAGGCCGTGCAAGAAGCAAATGCCCATTTCTTCCACGTCTTGCCGTGTGATGGAGTTGCGAATCTTTGCCGCGGAGACCACATGAGAACGAATCGAAGGGTGAGGCGGAGGAACTGTGCATGGGACGAGTATCCCGTTCCGATCACGACCGTGACTTCATCGGGTGATCCTCACTTCGCAGCCACGACATGCCCAAGATCATGTCGAACTTTGTGTCCAAGATGTTGAAGGACACGGCCTCGCGTGCGTGCGGGGCGAAGTACACGGGCGCCGCGTCAATGCACCGGTCAATGGACTTGCGCGTGTGACCGTCGGCCAATTTGACTTGTGTGGGCTGCAACTTCCTTCGAACGCGTGGCCCAAGGTCGGCGCGCACCACGAAGTCTTGGCTGGTATAGTTGCGAGTCGCTCCACAATCGATCAAGGCGCTGCAGGTCGCCTTTCCGATCTGAATGTGGATGTAGAGTAACGGTGCGTCAATGTCGCCGTACCGTTGCGTGGAGTAGTCGCAGTCAATCTTCGCAATATATTCGCGAAGGTCAACAATCGCTACTCCGTCGTCCGTCAACGAAGTTGGTACTGCAGCGTGCAAATACTTGCGTAGCTCCGCCATCAAGGCATTGCAATGCGGTTTCGGCAGCGTACCGAACAGCGAAAGAGGCAGCCATTCGAAGTCTTCCTTTGTCAACGTGTCGAGGTCCTCAAGTCTTGACCACATCGACAACTCCCCAGATAGTAGTGTCGGCGATGAATCTGGTTCACTTGCCGACGGTGATAAAACCACACATACTTGAGCATCATGCAGGTGGAGAGAGAGGTCCAACAGAGGTACCAGCTGAACAGCATAGACTTCGAAGTCTTCCCGAAGACTGGCGACATCCGCATGCTCCCCAGACGTGTAGGAGGTTGCTAGCAAGGCAACCGTATCCGGCGGAATGGGAAGTGGAGTCGCCTCACTTCCTGCGAAACTCAATTTCCCGAGCTAGGTCATGGACGGACGTCCTCTTTGCCCTCGTCGGGGCATTGGGACAGGGTGTGCTTGGTGCTGTTGCACCAAAAACAGCATCCGTACTTTTGGCGGAGTTTGTATTGGTCCTCCGTCAAGCGGAACTTCTTCCTCGACTTATTCAGTTGTCCGGTTCCGTTGTCGACGCTGGTTTCGCCTTGTTCTTTCATGTGTTGCGTCATAGCGGAAGGGCATTGACTTGGCTTCCTTCACTTGGCCCTGAAGCCGATGTCGGGTCTTCATTTGATTCATTTGTTTGAACGGCAGCCACCGGCTGCGTCCGTTGTCCTTTGCCTTTCTCCACAAAGTTTGGCTGCCCTTGCCGTTCATTGGCGGCCCACCCATTGGTTTGGATGATGGTTCGCGCCCGAGTGATGACTGTATCAAAGTCGGCGTAGTCCTCCATCTGTCCAAGAGCCGATGTCGAGGAGTCCACCGAGCGTCGGGAAAACTCGCGTCGAATGTGTTTGATCGGCAAGTTCAGATCCGGAATGGCAATGATCTTTTGCCATTCGGTCAGCCAGTCGCGCGTAGGTTGACTCCCTTGAAACATCTTGAAAACCTGGTTTATAGCTTTGGCCTCCGTGTCTTGCACGATGAAACGCGATTTCCACAAAGTGGTGATAGCGTCCCAGTCCAGCATGGTGTGTAAATCTTCCATGTTGACCCCTTCCTTGACCGCCAGGTGGTTGAGCCAAATTTGGCATGCACCGGTGAATTGAGGTAGAGCACTGCAATCTTTAGGCGCTCGAGGACATCGTGAAGTGCGACTTCAGTGGTGAAGCCTTGCCACCAAGCAAGCGGATCTGTCTTCGTGTAGTCGTCGAACTTCTCGATACGGAACATCGGCATCTTGTACGGTCGCGGGGTGCCGCCAGCGGGATGTTGCTGCAGGGTGCGGACGTTGGCCTTCAGTCCTATGAGTTGTTGGCTGATCGTTGTCGGCCTCGCGAACGTGCCGAGGTCGCTGGTCGTGGTGACCACATCGTCAATCCGCTGTTCCAACTCTCGTGGAGATGGCTAGGCGCTACTTGGTCCGGTGCTCGCTGAAGCGGCATCGTCTAATTCCAAGTGGTCGAGGTGCGCATGAAAACTCCGGTAAGTTTGCTGAGGTCATTGATAACGTGCTCGAGCCGCTGTAACTCGTGTTGTTGCCAAATGCAGGTTAGCACGAGTCTCGCGAGGAGCTTGGAAACATCTTCCTTGGTCTTCTCTTCGGCTGTCGGGTGGCTGTGACTATCTGTCGGGGTAAAATGCCAGTTGCGCAGCATGGCCGCATACTCCAACTCTTGCTGTAGCAGACTTGTCGCAGACTCCTGTCGAAAGCGGAGGACGGAAAGAACTGCTGCCTCCTGCTGCCGTCGTTCAACCTCTGCGGCTTCCTGCTGTTGTCATGCCAATGCAGCTGCAGCCTCGGCCTGCAGCTGTTCCTCGTCCACCACCAACTTGCTGAAAGCGAGGACGCGGGCGGCGAAGTCCGAAATGGACTCGCCGGGTTGTTGGGCCGGCACGGTAAGTAAGGGATTAGCAGGTCCCTGTTCCGCACCGGGGCTCCCAATCTGTGACACTGCGGCTCCTTCGGCGGCAGCTGACGTGGCCATGTTTGTGGCTGGTGTAGGCTGTGCAGACCGGAGGGCTGGCTGGTGTGAGGCTGCTGTCGGAACTGCAGCCTGTTGGGCAGCAATGTGTGCGCTGTGCCTGAACATT